CCCACACAATATATTATATATATAAGATTATTGTTTCGAGTTTCGGTTTGCAGCTGCCGGTGGCGTATGGCAGCACCGGCCACTTTGGTCTTTCAGAGTACGGTGGCGTATGGCCACACTTCCCGGACGGGAAGGCGCACGTTCCCGTTTGCGCGAGCCAGTCACAACACAGTGAGCTAGATTGAACCAGTAAAGCCCTCCTAATTGGGATCCTTGATCAGTCTCTCACCAGCAGTCACTGTATAACTGTTCACGAACTATCAACTCCCATGTGATCTTGGGGACTATCTTGGTGATATTTGGGGATCATCCGATCAAGACCCAACCCCCAAAAAACTGGCTCCTCAAAGCACGCGACACATCGCCGGTCCGGTCCAATCGGGTCCAAGAGTCGACATATTGTCGCGTGACGATGCCGCATATCTTGGACATCACGAGGCGCAACGAGGGACGATGCTGCAGGGGGATCTGCTGTAGCTGGGTGGGAAAAGCTAGCTGAGTGAAGCAAGCTCGGTTGGCTCACAGCCGTGGGTTCCAGCTCGGTTGGCTCACAGCCGTGGGTTCCAGTCGGGCGTGCGGATGCTTTGATGCTCAAGTTCTTCTTGGGAATTGAGCAGGGCAACACAACGTTGCTTGCACTTGGGAAAACGCACCGAGCCCTTCCAAAGTACCGGAACGTGATGTCCTATTTGCAATGGTCGCCATTAAACCCAAAAAACAGGTCAAATCAGGTCAAATGACCCTATGCTGACGTTTTTCAAATCTTGCCCCGAAATAGACTTGTGTAGGTCATCTGATGTCTCTGGTGTTGCCCACAGCTCCAAGTTTTCACAGTAGGAGAGCTCCGATCCATTGAAACTGAACTTCATAAGTATGCTCATGCATATTCTAAAAGTAACTTTTAAAGAAAGACTAGAGAACATCAATCTAACAAATGGATGTCAATCCGTTCTCATAAGTTTATAACTTTCCAATCTTCCGTGGAGTGGGGCTTCTCTAGCTGTGCTGCCTGGGTCTCCAGTCGAGCCAAGGAAGAGAAGTGCTGGAGCCAACGCTTCAGGGACAGTCATGGGATGATGGTCACAGAGTAGAGACTTCCAAAACTTATGTGGGGGGTTTGTTGGGAGACGCCTAGATAATCCAACCTTTGAAATCTTTGAAGACTTTCTCGTCAGTTCTTTGCTTCTTTACATGTTCCACATGGCACCTCTTGCAGAGTTTCACCACTGTGTCACTTGTGCAAGTGCTTATCATCTTTACGACCAATGAAGGAAAACCAAGATCGGGGTAATTGGATGGACATCTTCGAGATTTGGACTCGGTCAGGTGGTGACCAAAGCTGGATCAGCTGCCAGCCAATTGAGGTCATGGGAGTTCAATCACGCTATCATCGGCTCATCTGGATCTAGTAGCGCCATTCAGCACTGCAGTGCAGTTCTTTCGAAGAGAAAGCAGAAAGACAGAGTGGAGTGGACCTTTGATGTGTCGCCGCAACCACTCGGTCCGGACATTGGGGGGCCTTGGTTTGATGTCATGGTTGCTTTCGCCTGCTCCGCAACAGTGTGGTCCAGCGAGGTGAGTGTTGCAAGTTGGAGAACCTGAAGACACCATTATAGAGCTACATAAAGATACACAAAGTATCTGATTCTTCCAGGCCTTTGGCAGCATTTGGATCAACAACATCCACTCACAAGCCGTTCTGAACGGCAAATACTCACTTGGTGCTCCAGTGGTTGATGTTCCCCTTTGCCTCGCTCCAAAGCCACACTGACCGACCTCCCCCCGTGCGGTTCCTGAGAACCCTGACCCGGAAGCCCGAGGACCTTGAGAGCGAGTGGAGTGAGGCTGAGGATCTCAAAGGTGCTTGCTAGGTCTACCACTTTGGTCTTTGAAGCACTGGATAGCTATATACTATAAATACAATATACATCAATGTAGCATGGTAGCAAGTGGATACTCAACGATCAAATAAACATTTCCAAGATCTGACATGATGGATCTACTTTTGCTGTGGGGATAGGTCAAAAGTCAAATATTGGCACGATCACTGTCACTGGAATCACTTGTAGCAGGTTTGCACACTGATGTCCACGAATGCAGCTTGAGTCCACTTTGTGCTTGGGGCGACGCGTTCATGGCCCACACGAAGAACACTATATAATGTATTTGAACGTAGCAACCTTTGTCCAACCCGCTTATGCCCTGCCACTTGCCAGGCAACCTCACTGTTGATTGCTGTTCTTTGTAGGGCCTTCCTATGCTGTCTAGGATCGCCCAACCTCTTCAAAACCTCGAGAGGGTAAGTATAAGAGTTCCTAGGCCCAATATTATCTTTTGGAGAAAGACCTGGAGAAAACAGTAGAAAACAATAGAAGCCTATATATCTTTCTCCAATAGAAAACAAAAAAACACAGGTCTTGAACTCCAGACCCTGCCACCCGCACGGCCGTTTGCCCCGAGCTGGTCATGCACGGATGTTCTGGGCCCCTCGAGCTGTTGTACAAGATCCGTTGCACCTTCGCCGGATACCTCGAAGCTTCGCAAGGGAGTAGAAAGAATGAGATACAATGGCTTCCCTATTGGAGGACGATGAGGTCCCCTGATATCGTTTGATTGCCTTGGCTGGCTACAAGAAAGAGAATCAAAGCAGGTATCATCTGCATCCGCTCCCCTAAATTTCTGTCAGTTTCTGGAAGAAAAAGGGCTCATGAACCAGCAAGAGTTTGTTCTCTCGTGTCAGTCCTCCTCTGCAAAAGCCGACCTGGTCGGTTTTACTCGTAGCACACCTCCAAGCGCCCAGCCCTGGACCGCTTCGGCCCTCCTCTGGCCGCCTCGGGAAAGGCCCCTTCTGACCAGGTGATCGGTGATCAAACTGCCGCAGTCATGCAATGAATGAAGATGAGGACCTGGGCATCCACCTGTTCTGTCAAAAACAGGGAGGCCTACATTGGTGAAGAGTGTGCACTTTTGCGTTTCGGAGCCGCGCCGAGCCAAAGACCGTCTTGAATTCGAGGGTTCCGTCCGTCGAAACGATTTTACCTATTTCATCCTATTTGTCCAGGTCCTCAGGATCGATTAAGCATTCATGTGGGGAGTAGAAAGAAACCATCTTCCAGCCGAGCTAAAAACAAATCCGCAAAACGACAAATCAACCTCTTGAAGCCTGGGGCCAACTTCAACCATTCTCGTCCATTCTCCAACACCACTTCCATCATCTACTACAACTTCAAATTGTTGTGCATCTGCTTCCACCCCACCTTGGGCCCCCGGACGGCGTGGCATTGGCAGGTGCCTCTCCCACAATAGGCCGCTTGCCGCTCTGAAACTTGATGGAGCAGCAGGCTTGCTATGGACATGTTTGCCCCAATAGTCCCCAATTCGTGGGTCTGGCTACGGTTTCCTTTCTCTGCGGACGCAGAAAGAACGGCACCGAACAATCCTTTGTCATGCCAGAAGGCGATGCCTTCAAATGATACCGTAGCCATGATTCCCCTTGAACACAGGCTACATTAGGCTGCCATTGTTGCGTCACAGCCGTCGCTGGGCCACGCCTCTGTCGCCTCCCGTTCCTTCTCCTTCCATTTGGGCCTGGGCGAGGCTTGGATGATTCACAATTCTTCTTGCATTTACGACGACTAGCAAACACAGTAGTGGATCCCTGTTGGACACCCAACAGGCTCTAGACATAATAAGGCTAAGGCCGTTTTGGTCTCCAGAGGGACGGAGGAAAAAGAGGGAAAGGGGAAAAGTATGGAAAAGTCTCAACTTCTCAACATTGGGGATGGGCTGAGCACAACAAAACTCTGTGTTGGAAGAACTCCACTCGCCAGTCCTGCAACGAAAAACCACATCCCACCCACCCAGCGGAAGCAGAACGCGCAGCGAGTCACGAGACTCCCGGCGGAAGCGTCAGCTGAAGCGGTTGTTCAGTGCCCTGTGACAGTCACATGGGGCTCAGCAGGCATGTCACTGCTTCACTCAGCCTTTGCTTGGCCCGTCATGCACGTCATGCTTTCCATGCCCTTGCACTGCTTGTCGTCGTGAAGCAGTGACCACGGTATAAATCCTTCTCATCAAGCATGCCTTTGATTCCGAGCTCTACCATGCTCTACCAGCCTGTGATCCACTCGCCGACCCGCTCGCCGCTCGGTCTTTTCCTGTCTTTTCGCATCTTTGGCGCGGGGAGGGTCTTTTGCCCAGTCGACGTGGGGCTGGCACTGGCGACGCTGTCACAGCGGCGGTCTGCCGCGAATCGGCCTGCTTCCGTCGTGAATGGGTCCATGTTCACTTGTTGTTCAATCTTCATCAGAATATATCAGAATCATTCAGACTCCAACTGCAGTATGCAAGAAAGGGGCCATCTATCTTTAGAATTTTTTTCCTGGTCTTTGAAACCATGGGTGATTTGAACGACTCGGGTCACAGCATGGGCTTTTTCATACCAAATAAAGTTGAAAAAGAAAGGACTGCTGTGAAGCTGATTGCCCAGGTTTGGGCCCAGCTCAGGTCCAGTCCAAGAATCAGTCGTTCGGTTGCGGGACTGGGGCACCATGAAAACGCGTCCATCATCATCAAAACGTAACCTGGACCCATCAAACCCAGTCGTGTCTTGCAATGGAAGGCCCCTAGCTTGAGGCTTCTTTGGAATGAACATGTGATACAGATGTGGCTTCTCTTAGCAAAATGCCGTTTATGCCTGGTGGGGTCAGAAGGCATCAGACAGTGGGGTACTACTTTGCAAACAGAAAAGACGTCGCATGGCAGAAAGTCATTAGCTTTGTCACGTCTCAGGGTTGAGGGCCGACTTCACAAGTTCATGAGAAGCAAATCAACCCACAAGAAAAGAACTTTTTGTTGATAGAAGAAATGCTTGCACCACTTGGACATACCATATGTTCCCTATCTCACTGTTTTGATGGTGTCGATCCTAGTTTACACGTGGGTCTGGTCATGCGACTCCAGCGACCGGGAACGTGCGTGTGTTCTATCTTCTGTGCTATTGGGGTTGCTGGGTTCATTCGATTCAAGTAACATTTCTTCGCTCTTCAGCTCAACCCTATGGAAGTTCAACCATGACCTGTCGTTGAAAGCTTGACCTGTGGCATTTGCCCCATTGGTGAAACAACTAAGGCCTCAGTCCTTGACGTAAGCCCCGCGTTTCCACTGACCTTCCTCAAATGTGATCACGCCCAGCATGCAAGAAACAACTGCAACATAGAGAGCCAATGGAAAACATCAAACTGCTTGGCCTAGCTGCCTAGCTGCTTTGGCTCCCAATACATTTCAAAGAAAAGCATGCCCTCAAAACCCCCACCAGAATTCATCTGATCCTGAAGGTGCACTACTGTGTCGATCCCTTGTACCGACTGTTCGACGTGGTGCGGCGGACTGAGCTAACCAAACGGAAGACTAGCACGGAAGCTAATAAAGGACCATAGCTGTAGACCCAACAGCAGTTTGAAAAGTTTGGTGGCTCGATGAAAAACATCTATAAAACATCATAAACATGTTATATGCTATGGCTATAACATATTTTGAATAGATGTGGTCACTATTCACGATCTACTTCCAAGGCTTCAGGTAGTGCATGGTAGTGCCCTATTCCAAAGCAGCTTGCTCCAGAAAACCTACAGTACAGCATGTGAACGGCGTAGCGAGGAGAGGATAGCACTGGGACCGAAACTACTTGAATCAGAAGGCCATCTGTCTGATAGGGAACTAACTACTGTCACCAAGTTAACTTGCTTTGTGTCTGGAATCCAAACTCCCTCAAGATCTACCCAAGCAAGAAATCCACCTCCTCCCTCAAGATCTACCCGCCGCCCAGTGTCCTTCTTGCTTCCATCGGCTTCCGTCATGACCCCGTGCCCGTGCATGTCTCCTTGTGCAAAGTCCCCCTCGTAGCATCGGCCATCGGGCCACGTGAGCTTGCCCTTCCCTGGTCGAGCGTCTACACGCGCCGAGGACCGAGACGGATGAGACATGATAAGACTGCAGGAGTGGAGTGTTTGAGTTTTGGGGAACTATTCAATAAGTAGTTGAGTGGTGACCACAATCAGGCAAGCTGCACACAAGATTCAACCACAAGGATACCAAAAAGCTGTAAAACACCTCAACCCATCCCCTGTTTCCTTCCTTCGTGTCAGACATACCTCGAACTGCTGAAACATGCTGAAACGAAGCCAAATGGATGACAGCCATGACGAACTGCAACTCCAAGTGGCCATGCTTTTGGCTCTTCATGTAGCTGCCTCACCCGGATGAGTGCTCAAGTGACCCCGTCCATGCTTCAAGCAATGACTCCAAGACCTGCGAAACCTGGAGTCCTTTCTTTGTTTCGCTCTCTCCCTCCCTCTCTCTCTCTGTCAGGACCTCTTTTGCCTTTTGCCTGTCTTCAGGCCGGTATTCACCCCCCCTCTCAAGTCATTTGGCCCATCCCTGTGGCTGTTTGGCCAATGCCTCCCGCCCCTTTCATCCGTCTAGCTGTGTCCCAGGGGTCCGACCTTCGTACTTCCGGCCGTCGGGGTATTCGAAGACGCCCTCGCCATTCATCTGCTGCTTGGCCCAGTGACCGCGATAGATGCAGCCATCCGTCCAAACCTCGTGGCCAAGGAGCACCTAAAGCTAACCACCTACGACGTCTAGCCTTCTACAAACAAGCAACAAAAACATGGCCCAATTTTGCCACGGTGTGGCATGATGTGTATCTTTTGCTTTGGTGACGCATCTCCTACCAGTTTGATCCAGAATTGATGTTTCATTTCTGGGTTTATAGGTGCCTGCCCAAGTGATCCTTCAGGGGAATTATCAGCTAGGATTCCAACGAAAGGAGCACTCCAGAGTTGTGTCTTTGGCATTGCTGTCAGCAGCCGGGCTCGGCGGTCGCAATCGAGCATCACAGAGAGGGTAAGTAGGTCACCTTCGAAAAATAATGACTTACCGGGTACCGTATATCATGATTATGTCTTCTTATCATTTTCCGTGGTTTGTAGGCAAATGGGAGGGATGTATAGGAAGGTAGCTCCTTTTCATCCGGAAGAGAATGCCTGACACCTACTCCGACACTCCCCAGAAACCATCAGAAACCAACCAAAGCAAATCGGTGAAGGCACATAAACGCCATAGCCGTGGATATCGTTGTCCACAAAGTCGCCTTCGAAATAGGAGCCATTGGGCCAAGTATATTTGCCTGGCAAATGACAAGAGGTTGATCCAAGCGAGTAGAACTGGACCACATAAACCCAAGTCTGAAAGAAACAATGAGAAAAAGACTTGGGTAGAAAAGAGGTGAGACGGTGACACGGTGTGATCGTGCATGAAAAGAGGTAGAAGCTACATATTCATGCAGCAGTCTTTGCTGTTTTTGGCTTGGCCTATGAAACACGATGAGTCCTGTCCACTAGCTTCATTCTTCTCTCCGCAAGATAGGGAATCAATGGGAGTACGGGCTGTCCTGGTCATATGAGCCACATTACCATGACATCATCCTAAGCGACAGGTCGAACAACAACATTGATAAACAACAAAACAATACAAACAAGGTGCGAAACACAGCTTATATAACTATGCTTAACTTTTTGACAAGCCCCTTCAGCTGCAACAACTACTCCGATAGTTACTAGCCTACAGTAGCTGGCTGTTCCTTTCCTGCTTCAGGCTGGCTCAACTTGGGGTTTCTAATTTTACTTTATATCTTCGTTGCCTTGGGACTTGCCTTTGCTGCGGTTATAGGGTGACCAAAGTATACAGGTTTATATGGATAATGATTTGTTGACATGTGCGTCATTCTCAGTCCTCTTGGCAAACTACTTGTTGCGACTGGCTCACGCAATCTATGCAATTAGGACTTGACCCTCCTTGCCTGTCGCATTCGAATCACCGGTCAATCCGTAAAACGATGACATCAGGAATTTGCAAGCTCTCCACCTCATCAACCCACTTCACCCGGGCCCTGCAACACCTGAAGCCCGGGCCTTTGCCGTTTTTGCGGCCACCCATGTACTGTCCGGTGTATGTGGCGCCATCCGACCACTCTTCAGTGCCCTTGCCCGACTGCAAATCATTCAGCCAGTCGCCTGTGTACTTCGAGCCTTGCGGGAACACTCACGGAAAACATCGGCGTGGCGATGGATGTCGATTGGATGGCCGTTGGATGGTCGTTGGGGAATCTGAATTCTCAAGGCTTCATGTGGATGACAGGGATGATGATGACGACGACAATGATGACGATGGTTTCCGTTGATGGTCCTGGTGGGGCCCAAAAATGACATCATATCCAACAAAGAAACCAACAAACGGTTGATTGCACTAACTAAAGGACTACAACGTACAATTCTGAACCCTTCTAATGATGTTCTCGTTCTTGAGAGTTCCACCAAAACCATCACCAACCACTAGGAAATTTCAGGTGTGCCCGTGACTGCCCGCTGCACGGCTGCACGGGTTTTCCATTGACTATAGTGACTATGTCTACCTCACGAATGGCATCTCTCAAAACATGTTTTGGGTGTTTTCCTTTTTGGTTCGCCACACAGCGAAACGACGAACACTTCACATGGAATCCGACCCCTTCGAAGGACCAATGTGACTCCAACGTGACTCACTCACAAGAAACTACGATGGAATGGTTTTCAGGTGACTTCAGAAGCTGGTTGGGGTCTCGTAAACTTTTGATCTGCTGAGTGTTACTGTATATACAAAATATATACTATAAAATATATGTGGGTCTTCCACAAGCCCATTTTCCGTCTTCGATGCGTTCGCGTTCGGGTCATCCCACGTACCTATGTCAAATCCTGCCAAACAACACCGGAAGGAAACTCGCCAAGTGGCCATCCGAGTGCACATAGGTGCCTTGGCCATGTTTCATGCTCGCCCGCCATTGACCATCGTATGAGGCACCATCACTGTGTTGTAAACGGCCGGTGCCATGGGCCTCCGAGTCAGGGTGAATGACTGGGTTGCTTTGTGAATGACTTCTTTACATCCTTTTCTACCTTTCTCAAATACTTTCAAATCAAGAGACAATGGCAATGGACATTGCAGGAGGTTCATTGAACACCCTCCATCAATCCGCCCCAAAAAAAGACTTCCACACAAAACACCTGCACTGTTGCAGCGCCTTGTCTTCCACCCATTGTCCTTCGTAGGTGGAGCCGTCCGCTTCCACGTGGATTCCAAAGCCGTGTCTTAAACTCCCTTCCCACCTGATCGCGGCCAAACCATGTGGAACAGTGATGATGGATGGGTTCAATATGGTTCAATGGGGTGGTCTCTTCAATCAAACACTGGGCGAGCCGACTTGCCCTTGCTCAGAACAAATTGGGGGTCTTCAGTGTGCATCTTGTCTTCCTCAAAGCACCACCAGGGAAGACAGAATGATCATCAGTTCTGCTTTCCTGGCGGGCTGCAGTCTAACCCTTTGTAGCAGCTCACAGCCATCCCCTCTGCTAAAGCACATCGGATCTTGGTACGGTGAAACCGTTCAGGACTTGGATTCCACATCAGTTCGGTCGTTCGTTGGCCGTGCTTGGCCCTTACCCTTCAATCCAAGATGGAGGACGGGCTCTTGGCGTATATATATATATATTTTACAATATATAACTACATATTAAATAGACATAAATAGACATATAACTTATCTACAAGATCTCTTCTTGATTCTTCTGTATGATCACATCGTGTCACCCGCTGCCATCAGACTTCCCCGAACCACGAACTCCCTTCCATCGATGTTTCGTTCACCGGGTGCCCTGGACCCGATCACCGAACCATCGGCGTTGCCCGTGGGATCCATTTCGTTGGACCTTCTGGTGCTGTTTTCATGGATCCCGATCCCTAGGATAGGGGATTTGTTGTTTCTTCATGTTCCTGCTGCACCGAGAAACACTGCAAAGGAGTCGACCAAAGTACAACATTGAAGGGTCCACGCCGAACCTGTGACCAAACCAATGTTTCACGCTTCCTGTGAATAGGTCATCCGCTTGAGAGAACAATCTAAGCTATGGTGAGCTGACCCTCCTCAACGTTCGTTCTGTTCTCACTCAATGTCAACCATCTGTTCTATCTTTCCTTTGATCACATGCACCAAAAAATCCCAACTTCCTCCATTTCAAACGTCTCACAATCAGAGAACCCCTCCAAAAAAGCCGGGTGTTGTCTTGCTCCATCCTCTGAGTTAAACGAAACCAAGCGACGTGGGCACTTGGTGCTCACTTGGTGCTTTCCAAGGCACTGACCGCTGTAGGTGGCACCATCCTCAAAGACATAAGCTGGACCCAAAGCCGCCTTGGAGTTGAGTCGAGGGGCCTTTGGATGGAATAAATCAGGGAAGGGTGGGGATCTTAGATTTTTTGGAAGTTGTTCGTTTTCAGCTTGCTAAACTAAACTCAAAGGATATTTCTAGACTTGGAAGCCAGGGTTGCCACAGATTAGAATTCGCTGTTGATGCATTTGGCACCTCATGCATTGGCATTGGCCTTCTCCAATTGCATGCATGATGGACCAAACATTGGAGATATTCGACACGAGTATTCTACACAACCTATCAGAAGTTCTCGTGGGCAAAGCCCTCTTCCCCCTGCGAAAAAGGGCCTTGCTCTTGGCAAAGGCCAGCTTCGGATCCTGTCAGTGGCGGGGCTGAGATCGCACGAGGTGCCTGCCAGGTGGTCACGAGCTCAACACCCCCACACGCCACAACTGAACTTGGTTCAACGTTTTTGCAGCCTGAACAACTGAAAGTAGGTGTGTATGTATGTATGTATCTATCTATCAATCTGTGTATACAAATATGTATATATCTATATCTATATCTGTGTGTATATGCCATATATATATATAGATCTAATTATACATGAAAGTGCTTTTCCTGCTTCAACTTTGGGCTTGGGCGGGGGTCGGTTGGGCTAAATCACGCTCCTCAAATCCTTGTTTTGAAGTCCAACATGGCGTGCCTCCCATTTTGTGAGCCCTCCGGGCTCAGTGTTGTGGAGGTCTGGCACAAACAAAAACGCCACACCTTCCAAGGGATCACCAATGGACTGCCTAATTGTACTTGTGCATTTCATTGGTGTCGACACCGGACGCCCCTTGCAAGATTCAGCTATGTGCCCTTGGGCTTCATCCTGGCACCCTACCTCCTGGAGTGTCTGGCCGCGAAAGCGGCTGCCCTGTCCACCCGTCCGTCCTGCTCCACCACCTGCGCATTGTCCGAGTTCTTGTTGGGACACACGCAGCCAGTGGAGCACTGTGTGCTACCCATTGCGCTTCAGCACAGGAGCACAGGTGCGGATCGAAGCAGCGAGTTGGAAGCTAATCGCTCGCTTGAGTTCTGCTGATAAGGCGCCGTGACAAAATCTTTGATAAGGCGCTGTGACAAAATCTTACAATAGTTGGAACATCTAATTAAGCAAAGGTCGAGCAAGGTCTCTTTGATCTGTTCGACTTGACTTGCTTCCCCTATCTTGCCACATCATTCAGCCTTCCAGCCCAGTGCAGTGCGGCGGTCTTGCCCGCGCCGCTGAATCCGTTTTCACGACGTCCCAGCTGAACCCCTGAAACCGCGCGAAACCAAGGACCTGGACGCGGTTCCGCGCAGGACCTGGACCTTCACTAACATGAAGGCCGGATTGGTGGCATTCGTGATTCAAACATGCTCAAACGCCTGCATGGCTTGATATATTTCATGGATATCTGTCAATACAGCAACAGCCATACTCACAAGCTTTCTTCACAACACCCAACGAGTTGACAGGTCCTACATTTGGTGGTCAATGGTCAATTGATATCAAAGGTGTCTATAAATGCCTTGAGAGCTCTATAGGACATTTAGACTTTGCTCTGTGTGGGCTACAGCTGCGGGATGCTGAGTGTAAACAGGCTTGTTTTGCTTGTATTTGCCACCCCTCAAAACTCCTGCCAGCCGGTGTCATGGGGCACTTTTGAGAAGTGCTGAACGGGATTGGTGTGTAGAGTTTCGTTCAAACATATCTGCATAACTAGGCCAGTTCTTCTGATAGAGCACAAAAACTACTTACTGTAGGAACTTAGAAAAGACACTTTTAGGAGGACATGGATGAAACTCATAGTGTATCCGCCGTCCTATCCATTCTCAGTTCTCCTCCACATCAACAACCTGTCACAACCATTCCTGGATCCAACGCCCTCTGCACCCTCATCCATTCGACAGGAAAAGGGCGCCTCTTCATCCACTTGGTCTACCTTTGTGTAGGCCTGCTGTGCCTCATTCTGCGCCAGGATCTGTCGAAAAGTAGCACCTCAAACCTATCCTATATATATATATACGCACATGCACACATAGTTGAAACACACCAAATCCTAAACACAGATCCTGCTCTTGCAAACGTTAAAGTCTTTGAATCACTGAATCACTTATCTACCAAAAGCAAGGTGACACGCACACGTTCACAAGATCAGCCGCCTTCTGTAGCAGCCTTCCCTGGAGAATCAGCAAGTCGCAACCTGGGTGCCATGACGATGGTGCCCCACTGCGCTGGCTATGTGTGCTGTGCACAAGTTTCATGGTTTTTGATGGTGCATGTGACTATCTGACTGTGTAGGTGGAATGGCCTCAAAGGTGTAGGGCCGGGTGTAGACTGCATTCATCCTCTAACATCTTTTCCAAACAAAGCCCGGAAAGTCTGAGCCATCAGGAGATATCAGGAGTAAACCAATCACACATGGTGGAAACAGCCTAAGAGAAAGAACTTAAACATACGCAAGTACCGAAACTGTGGCTCTCGAGCTTGCACTCGCAGATTTCCGTTGAGTCGAGAATATGTTCTTCATAAGTCTTAATAGGCAAATTACACAAGCATTAACTGCCCATAAATTCCAGCGAGCTTCTCCTTGCGAAAGCGTTCACAAAGCAACCGTAAAACCCAAAAGAAAATTATGTAAACTCATCTTTCTCCAAGTAGCTTCTTGTTACTGGTCGAAATGCCAGGAGCTAATGACTGGTAGCTTCTTGCTCCGTTCGAGTCGCGATGCCCTTTTTTACGTTCGTAGCTGCAGCTTCTTGTTCCCCCTTCCCGGATCCTTCCGGACACAAAAGCCTGGTGAAGCCTCTTTCCATTGAAATCTGTCCCAGTGCATTTCCAGGGGACGGTCGAAGTGTTGGCCGCTGAAGAGGATCTGCCCAGGTTGATATCCAGTGCCTTGGAGGGTTGCACTCGTTCTCTGGGTGGGGCCACGGACACGCATTGATTGATTGATTGATCGATCGATTGATTGACCAACAGGTGGGATCGGACATGCTGAGGCCGCGCTATTTTTTTGGGAGAGAACATGCTCTGAATTGTGGATTTGTCACGATGAGGCTTCATTATGTAAGATATCGAGATCATTCGAGGCCTATCCAATAAGAGATATCTTGAGGCCATGCCATGTGAGTCTATGTGCATCATACGTGCGGAAATGACATGTTTACCCCCAAAACTGGGAAGAGCATGGAACAGCAAGTGACACTTCGTCCTGGGATGCCCGACGGACCAAGCCTGACGGCGTCAGACTAGGGTGGAAGAAAACATGGAAAAAAATCCATGATCCACGCAGGAAGATCTGGAAGATTCAAACCGCCACCCCCCTGAATATTTCCAACGATCCTCCTTAGAATAGGCCTCATGAACGGCACTCAAACATTCCTATGGATGTGGCTCCACTATCTCCACTCCACGTTTGACCCAAAGAAATGCCGCAACTTTCACCAGTGGGTGATCTGATGGTACCCAAACCGTGGACCATGGCCAGAAGGGGTTATAATACTATAGTTTCAGAATGTTTCAGAGTAAATGGCGCATCTTCCAAAACGTCCTTTAACGTTAGATGGGGGTTCGTGATGACCATATATATATATATGAAACCACTGTAGGTTGCCACAAAACATGGTTAAGTGCTTGACTTGACTGACCGTCGCCGTGGACGCCAAACTCGGGGAAAGTGCTCCTGTTGGCGAGGAGCCGTAGATTTAACATATCCTCAACCTCAGATTGCCAAACGCATCCTAAAGCACCCATGTTATATCACTGCTTCGTGGCGCGCCACCCTGATCAGGGTCATGCCACATGCATGCAAATAAACGGTAGCCACTAAACAAGACTTTGACCACAAAGTTGATTTTAGTTTAAGGCATGGAATCTGAAGCGCAAGTGCTATCCACTCGGAACCCTGTCGGCCTGCACGCAAACCATTCTAAAGGAAACGGTCATTTCTAGAACGTTATAATAGATCTCAAATGCTTTTGAGCGGTTTTGATTGCACTGCCCCCCCTGCACATTAGAACCTGGAAGTCCTGCCTACAAAGGCTGATATCCACTAGTTAGTGTCCTGATCAACCTAGCCATGGCTCACCTAAAATAGCACTAACATCAGTTCCTCCACAACTTCGACGTAGTACAAAGATCTATATATCTATATAGTTTCAGATTTTGATGAGTGTGGATGTCCTAGAGAAAGTCACAGTGGTGAGTAAAATAGACAATTTGCTGTCCGTCCTCTGTAATTATCCTCCGCCATATTATTGTTTTGCCCAAATTGTGGGTGTTTCTTCTTTTTGATCCAATTCGACTGGCATGACCGAACACTTGGCTTGGTCCAGTGTGACCAGTTGGGGGGGACTGTCCCCCTCAAGAACAGAATCTCCTGTCTGTTCCGCGAAGTGGCAAAGCGAGCATTGCTCACGTGTGCACATGTGCCTGGATGCTCCAATCCAATCGTGATCAACTCCTCGCTTCGTACCCTCAAGACCGAATCGCATTGGAGCCCAGGTGCTATATTATGGTGAAACCTGGACAGATCTATAACTGGCATGACATTTGTTCGTCATGCCAGGCACCTGCTTTCTCAGAAAACAGCCCAAAACGGAATCGCCTTTACGCTCCAAATTCCGCTCACGGCAGGGTGTGTCGAAAGTCCTTGAAGTCGGTGCCATAGCCCGCCTCGACCTGGGCTAAGATCAGTTTCAGAGATCCAATTTGCCCCATTTTCAAGTAGACCTGCTGTCGCTTTTGGTCCGCCAGCACCTTCGCGGCAGACAGCTCGGCCATTGGCGGTATCTCTGCATGCCAAAATGGAGAGGCCATCCTGGTCTCTGGCGCTGCTACCTCCGAGGCCACAGTAGGGGTTTCTGGCAGACTGGGCTCCAAGCTGCTCTGGGATCCACCCACCGTCTCATGCTCCCAGGCCACTTTTTTCCGCGTCTCCCGCCGCTTCTCCCGCGTGGACCGGCTGGCAGGCCGAACGGACCCCTTCTGTGTGAAGCGTGCCAAGGGAAGATTGCTCACAGACTTGCTGTGGATGGAGCTGGTCAGGTTGTAGTCCAAAATGCTCACCTTGGGTGGTTGGAAACATGCGTGTTACGGTAATGTATACGTTTCAATGGATATGTTTCAATTCATTTCCCCCTTGAAATGTTGTTCGCCGTCTTGGCACCTCAATCTTCCCCGTCAGGTCCTGAACATCCTCAAGCCTCCCAAAGAATGCCAGGTCACGGGGCCTCGGTTCCAATAGCTCCGCGGCCAAACGGACTCCAAGTACCTCCCCGTAAAGGCGCGCTTCTTGCGCCACGCCTGGGTGGACTTCGCATAGGGCGGAGCCGTCTCCATGGCGGCGGTGCTTCGGTAACCCGGAGCTGAAGATCAGGTGTCACTGGGTCAGTGAACACATGTGAAAGGCAAATCATTTGGAGCAGTTCACGTGGGAAACCTGGAAAAACAACCAAAACACAAAGATCTACAAACAACAACACGCAGCGTTTGTTTCCGCAAGACCAAGACAAAAACAAAGAACAACATACAAAAGCCGGGCTTTCTGCTTATTTTTGTGTGGTTCCGTTGGGAGTGAGAAGGCACCTTCCCGAACGTCACCTCGGATCATCCCGGACTCGATCCGTTTCTTCCGATCGAAACGTCGCTCGCTCCAGATACTCCAACGCTGTTTCCCAAACAAGACATGGGCAGCATAGGAGTGCAAGGGCATTCAACCCATTTGGAAGATATATAGGGACAGGAAAACGCAATGAACAAAGCACTGCATATCACTCAAGTGTACTTGAATTCACCACCCAAGGATGAGGTGACCTTCTTGACCGGTACTCCAACCCCACAAGCTCATTGTGTATACATCCGGGAGACGATTCTCGTCAATGGTCCATATCGCTGTGGATTTTGCGACGAGGCCAAGATCTATCAACATGGTTCTCTCATCTATACCATCTAGTATACACAATTGCTAAATAGACTAACCTATACTGCAACTCCACTGAGCAAATCACCAAAGCAAAGATCGAACCCTGACCTTATCGATCTTATCCAACTCAAACATATATATATATATATATTGTATACAACTGTAATACAACAACTATTCAAAGAACATACAAAAAATCACACGCATAACGCGTCCCACGTGTCCACACTCGTGCCGACCCTCCCGTCGCCTCCGCCCGCCTCGCCTCCGCGACCCTTCAAGTCCGTAATGGGATCCTCAGTGGGCACGCTTGGCCGAAACCGTCGGTGGCGAATCAAAATGCATGGGTTCTTAAGGGCAATGCGTAGGACTTCCATAATTCTGAGAGATGCCGGGAGCGCCGCATAGCGCCGCTTGGAAGTAAACACTTGGAAGACTCTCGTGGTGGGAGCATGCGTTGACCGTGGTTGCTGCAGTTTGATGACCTCTACCATAGGTTCACCAGGGCCCATGATGAGGGTTTTGTAAAGTTTAGAGCATGTGCATTGATCCTCCAGCACCAAATGGTTTTGTTGGACATGGTCGGCGATCATCATGCTTGCCCAAACCATCCCAAATCCACAACAAAAAAAAGACTCGCATTACATGTCTTCAAGAAAAGAATAACATGATGTAAACAATCCATCAGTGACCAATCAAATTCTGGTCGCCTGTGAATGCTCACCCCACCCCGTCGCCGACGCCCCCCGCACGCGCCTCTCTCATGCGTGGATCCTGGCGGGAGGACGTCACCGAACGGGGCCCCGCCCTGTCGGATCACCCGCATCACCACTCCGAATTGGGTCAGGAAAGGGTAAGATAATATATAATGGATGAGACAAATGAGACAAATAAGCAGAATACTTGTCAACATATTGGTCAGAATGAGACAAACACGGGCAACATATTTGTCAGAATGAGACCAAATCAGCAGAATTCTGGACACCTCACCAGTAACCACCTCCACCTCCGCCGGTCAAAAGCTTATGGCTGTGATGTCCTGAGTCGGTCCGGACCCCGGTGGCCTTTTTGGCAGTCCGCGCGTTCACCGGTGGTGCGTCCTCCGGGGGTTCCTCAGGTCACGTGCCCAATTGGCAACGCCCTGGTCCTCTGCTCTGGCGCCGGCGCAACGAATGCTGAAAGAATCGGGACACATCGTATCAGACCTCTCCGATTCCCGTGATATCTGACCCCATTGTGGTGATTGTGATTGTGATGCTTGTGTTGAAACATTGACTTATATATATATAGTTATACAATTGAACACACTTGAATAATCTTGAATTAGTTATATAATACATGGTATAATATGGGCTATAACCGTAACTTGTTGGTGCTGGCTTTTTTGCTGCCATTTGCTGCCCTGCCTGTCAAAGCCCCATTCTTTCATCAAACAAACATGGACAACTCCTCTCAGGTGAGTACAACGTGAACCTGCTCAGAACCTCACACAAACTCAGTGATTTGTAGTTACTTCCAGGATTTCATGGTGCCCCTGACGAGTCAAAAGGGGCAATGATCTCTGATGTCCCAATTTAGAGGTCCGATGTCCCGATTGGCTACGACCCCCAAAGGCCCCAAGGTCCATGGAAGATGGGCGCGGCCACCGCTGGGAGAAGACGGACTTGAAGACGTGCCCAACATGCTGAACATCAAAACAACCCAAACATCATCTACTCATCCACCAGCTAAACGGAATTGCGGTGGCATCTACAATCTGCTTCCATTGGGGGAGCTACTTCTAGAATCAGGATCCCTGGGTTTCTCTAAGAGCTTCCAGCTACCAGGCGCCTTTGGCAGTTGTTCGCACTCCTAGATACCTTTAAAGGCCCTTCTTCTATCTGCTTAAGTTGGTGGCCCATACGTGCCAAGGTGTCGAGCTTCTTCGAGTCAAGTGTATCCAAGTTCCTCAAGCCACAAGATGCCACAAAACATCACAACACCGTAGACATTCCCACGAAAAGGGGCCACATCTCATCGCCGTTCTCCCGCCAAGCGGGCACATCGCCGTCCAGGATTGGTGCTTGAACATGTGCGGTTCGATACACCGCGGTGTGGGCCGAGGCAAGTGCTATCTTTCCCAATCTGCGCAGCCAACCAGGCAGGTGTCCTACTTTGAGCCCTCTCCACATGCCTATGGCACTGTACCCTCAAGCATCACACCGCACCGGTGTCACCAGCACGCAAAAAGATCCCCGCACTCACCCTGCTCAACACAGGGACATGAGGTTGGCTGTGACTGCGCTACTCACCTGCACAGCCTCCAAAGAGAGTCCCCATCTTGCGGGTGTGATATAATGGGCATAAATCCACATCTCTTCCCCTTGCTCATTGGAACGTGGGAAAGGATAGCTACGCTGGCTACTTTTGGATACTTGTCGCAAACAAACACATGTATCCATCGGACCATCGAACTGGGCAATGATAGGCTATGTAACATGGTTCACCCTGCACTGACTTCATCCCTCGCTGTGTCTCTCTCCCTCTCGCAAGGACCCAGCAACCATTTGTCCATTAGTCCAATCCGGGTGACTTGTGTTGTCGTCGTGAGGGATGTATTTCTTCCGAATCATCGGCCCAGTGACAAAGTCCGACAAATCTGAGGGTGACACGAACTGCGTTTCGTGTTCTCCGAAGAGGTCGTAAACACGGGCCCAAAAAATGCAGGAACAAACAGACTTATAAGGGATGGCAAAGGGATGGCAGCAGTTTTGCTTCTTGATGCCATATTCGATGCAGCTGAAGTTGAGGACTTTAAAGCATCCCGTGCGGCCGACCAACGTCTCGATCGACCCTGCTTCGCACGACAGGGGACTCGGGCGGGACGTCTGGGTGAGTCTAGCCTAGGAAGATACTGAATTGAAGCAAGAGAAGACTGCAAAACAGGCGGTATGGATCCCTCTTCCACGCCACAAGGCGGTGTGCGGAATGGTCTGCCAATCGGTTCTGGCTGCGTGATTTGGTCGCAGGACACCTGCTGTAGAAAGACCCTGCGAGAAAACCCACGAGACAATGGTCCCCTCATGTCCTAGCGCTCAAAGTGAAAGCCTGCCGCCTGCCGCCTACGGTGTCTGTGCTGCGAAATGCCAAAGTTATTCTTAGAAACCATTGGACCTGCAGGGCCACATCCCTTTCAATGCAGCGAACAGCTAGTCACTGGTCATTTGCAGAACAAACGCACGGACAGCGCATCCCAGCGGCGTTTCTCCATTGCCCACATGTGCCGATCGTGCTCTCGTGTCACTCGAAGAGACATGATCATGTCGAGGTTGGGTGGCCATGCTTCTTGAAATGCAGACCACGAAACTTCATCATGCCTCGATCTAAGTGCGCGACCTTCTTAGATTCGTAGCCTCTGTTTAAACCCCAAAACATTGTCCGGACAAAGACAGATCCTTTTGGAGTTCACCGTGCACATCCGGTCAGACCCTTCGGAAACCCAGTGAGTCAGTTGCTTGCTGCTTTCTCGGATCCTAACCCCAACCCCCGAAGGAGGTGAGCTGGCTCACACGTTCTGAGGGATCCTTGGCCAGATTAGCACGCCAGCTTTCACGTGCCATTGGAAGGCTTCGGCTGTACGGTTCGGTGCCTGATCTCGCGGTTGTTGTGTTTTGTCCGTGGTAGGATCAAAGGGGACCCATGAGATCCCTGGAAGTCAACAGGGTCACCCTGCAGGGCTGTCCTGAACATCACACGTGAGGTACGGACGGATAGGTCTCCTGCATTCGTCACCCACATGAGTCCAGTTACGGCCGTAACCGAAGTCAACTGCGATGGGATCCCCAAGTGATACGCGTCTCTTGGTCGGTCGAGTTGCGTTACGTCCTTTGACTTGGTGACCCGAGCCAGCAGGGAACGTTGCAATTGCTAACTTTGCTACCATGTTAAAATATATACATACACTGTAACAGTATGTGTGCATGTACATGTATACGTAATATAATATATGTGATTATATGTGTGTCTCTGTGTGTAAATGCTCAAGAGGTTTTGGATCCGTTATAATGTTTGAATGTTTGGAAGAAGCAGTTCTTATCAATTCTTTGCATTTGCTGCTTGCCAAAGAACTTAGCTGCTTCACTGAGGTTCCTTATCTCCTCCTTCCTGTTGGTGTCCTACTTGCGGACATACACCTTTGTCCGAGAGCTTTACCCATTCTATAAATAGTTGTTTTGATTGGTTCAACCCCCCAACGCTTACAGTTTTACCCAATTCATTTGATCTTTTCATGTTGGATTCTGGTTGGCGAACATCCGTCCATCCTTTTGACCAGCTGACATTGCCTAGAACAAGTTGCTTGGATGAGCAATTGAAACACGCGAGAGGTCAAGCATTGTGTTGACAATCAGGCATGCACCGTAATCCATATGGGTGCGCCTCAAAAGCGGGGGCTGCCGCCTTGGAAGACTGGATGCAAATAATTCACCTGGCTACATCTGTTACCCTTTCAGCTTCCTGTCAGTACCAGTATATATATATATTCTGAACACAACGGTGTCTGTCCAGTGTCTAGACTCAACAGCCGATGTCCATAGCCATACACCAAACTCAGCTCAACACTGCAGGACACTCTGATCAACCAGTGATTTCCAGTGTCTGAATCCAGAAGTTTTTGTCAGCTTGACCAACCGAAGGCGTCCAAACATTCCAACATTCCATAAAAAATAACAACCCATTAAAAACACACACCCAAACCGCAAGTCCTTCAGGGGCAAACACACACCAAAACAGGGTGATTCATTGCCCTGGTCATCCCAGGTCGATCGTCCACTGGTGGGATGAAAACAGGTCACACATCGACCTGATGTGATGAGTTCACCACACGAGCGAGTTCGCCAACCCGAAACCCTTCAGACTGGCCCGCCCGTTGCTTTGCAGAACTCCTCGTTCTTATTGAAGGAAATACCGTGTAGCATGTACTGGGACGGAGCTATATATATATATATACACGACCGGAGACCGTTGGTGACACTGATGCCATTGCTAAAAGTACAGTCTTGGATATGGCTTCAGCTTTTATGGCCCCTCTAGCTGCATCAGCTTCTCCACTAGTCACTTGCGGATACCTTGCCTAAGCAGGGTTAGTCAAAGGCGTCACATCCCCCGATTTCTTGGCCCATCCATCGGTGGCCTCCAGCCACACCAGGAGTTCATCAAAAACCCCCGGGCCTAGAGAACTGATCGCGGATAGCGCCACAGCGGTGCAGCAATCACGCAGCAAGCTCTGCCGCAAGAACTCACTCGAGCGCATCGCGCGGTAGTAAAAGTGGTGTGGAAGCAAGTCACGCATTGCAAGAAGCAATGAGTAGCGCTCTCCGCCCCTCACCTGACAGATCAGAGAGAAACTCAAAGCATGACTCACAACAACCAGCATCACCAGCTGTTGATGAGCTGATGATTGTCAACCATTTAACCATGTTGATATTCCCTGGATGATCGTTTACTTCATTTGCGTTGTGGGCAACTGACCGTGAGTCGAAGCAGCTATCACCCTGACAAAGAAGTTGCTTGGTGGGTACGATGTTTCTAGATTTGGACTGTGATTCGTTCAGTGGGTTGAGTGTGGCGAGATCGCCATGGGCACATTCGACTTGTGTGGGTCAAAACGAAAAAGACGCATCTGCTGATGTGGTTCTGCTGAACAGTGCTGGCACAAGACTTGTGTTGGCCCAGAATCCAACGGTGTCTGTTTCGAGATGTTCCAGGGCAATCCGTTGGACACATGGTGAGAATCCAACGGATTGCCCGCTCGAGATGCCTCCATGTTGAACCAAGGGTTGCCACTTGGGGTTAAACATGGTCAAACAAACATGCCTCTGCCTAATTAATTGGGATTTCGATTGCCAGGGAAATCTGGCGACTTCAGAATCCTGATCAAGTTTAAGAACTTATAGTTTAAAGAAGAATGTTCAGCGCAATGCAGCTGCTTCTTGATCACACAACTGGGGCTCACACTACAGTATATAGAGAGACCAGTCAATGCAACAGCTATCTTTACAGTAGGAGCAGGACATGAGTTCATCATGCATGTCTTTCTGACTCCATCCGAAGCTAGGCCAGTAGACACCACTACACCATGGGTTTTCTATGACCCATCACCCAGTCATGAGTCATGAAGCTCTGCCAAACCACACATGAATCACATCCTTAGGTTTGCCACCATTTTGGTGCCACTCCATGAACATTGCTTTCATCCATCCCCCTGCTGTCCCTTCACACCCACCTTGAAAACCCCTTTCACGCGCCGACCACTCTGCCGATCACTGTCACCGGGCCACGCAGAGAAACGCCCGTGGACGAAGAGCGTCTTGTTGGTCCGCGGCGTCACCGACTCCTCGGGCGCCTCGTCCGCCAGGCCAAACCTGGGGAGTTCGAAGCGCGGGGGCCGGGAGGGTGGGAGGAGGGAGGTGGGGGGGGCAACGACGAGATGACCATGATCTGGCGTTATAAACGATCAAATCTTTTGGGGTGAGTGACATGTAACTGTTGCTTTAAAATTTAAAGCTGTTTGAAGGAGTTGTCAAAGTCACCTTTAGTCGTTCATTACAACTGTCCTGTATGGAACTGTCGGTATAAGGAGACACATGGGCATCGGGCCATCGGGCCAAAACATATCTTGCGGAGCCATGTTTCTTTTTGTTGCATTGTATTTCATACCGATGCGACTTGCCAATGCGTAGGTGCCATCCTTGCCATCCTGGAGTCGTGTTCATTCGTTTTCCGAGATCCTCGTACGACCAAACGCATGAGGTGGAGCATGGGTGGCTCGCCAAGCAGCTTGGCGATGCCCGGCAGCCCATGGCGGGGTGTGGTCTCCTCCTCGTCCGTCTGCTCATCATCCTGGCACAACCAGTGTAGGTGGGGAGCGAAGGAACAAGTGGACCAGGAAGACCATTTGAGTGGGATGAGGTCTTAGTTCTGGATGTATTTGTATAATTGTATAAATATATAGATATCCTGAGGTCGGCCTTACTTTCGCTGGCATCTCCGTGAAATTCCTCGTGACCAGCCCCATGCAACATCATGCCGCCAACACCTTGAATGCTGTGAAAACCGCCCTCTTTGGGGAGTGAAGTGATGGACACCTTCAGACCTTCAGGAAGTCAAAATCCAAATGATCTTCCAACCCCCCAACCCTGTTCTGTATATTTAGCCCGTTCACCGCCACAGAACCCTGTACATCCTCCTCGTGAAACAGCCGCGGCTGGAATGCCGGCAGCTGCGCGGGAAAGGCCGCACCGGCATAGTCGAAGCGTGAGATGGGCGGCGGGACGTCCGGCACGGAACCGCAAGAGGCCAGGTACATCGAGATGGCTTCTTCAAAACCTGGCAATGATCTCGACGTGACGTCCGAATCAAGTCCAACAGGTAAGGCTGCGGAGGGTCATGGAAACGAGCTCGTGGGAGTCTCAGTGTGAGTGCCTGTATTTCTGAGTGCTTGCTGCACTGGACTACGGATGTGCATTCTCTTTTGGGTGGAAGCAGACGAGCGAAAAGACCCACCATGGACCGGACTGGTGGGACGATCTTTGAAAGCCCACGAAAGGGGCGGAAACAGCAAGCAGCTGCACTGCAGACGTCTGTATAACCCCACAGCTGCAACGTCTGCACCAAAATCACCCAAAACAAGGCTAATTAGTTGGGTCACAAAGTGAGGTTCACCACCTGCAGGGATTCGTCGTCCTTTGCGACCTCCTGTAGTTAGTGAGTAGTTAACATATGTTAAAATTAATCTCCGCCCCATTCTGGTACTTTCCGGCAGGCGAATATGTCCTGCTAGCTACAGTAGCCGCTTCCTTCATTAGCAAACGTTAGAAATCGCAGGCAAAGGCAAGCAACATTAACCACAAAGGCTGCAAAGATCCCCCAAACAACAACATACTGTTTACGACCACAGCGACCACAGGAAGCAAAACGAGCAAACGGTTGGAAGGTGCTTGCGTTTTGGGCCATGTGAGGCCCATGAACTCTTCCACATCTGCTCACCTTAGAATCATCCTGTCCAGCATGCCCATATATAATATACATTAAGTAAGTACACTCAATAATATATATATATATATAAACACATCACATGGACGGACCATCATTAATTCTAACACTTTGGCCTACTGTGTAAGGCCACCACTGGCAGCACGTTAGAACCATTTGAATCATCCCGTGCCCCGCCGCGCCTCGTCGCGTCTCCTCGAAGCTCTCGCCGAAGCTGTCACCCGCCACACGCGGCGGATTCGTCGGCGGCGGCATCGTCACCCGCGGCTGTGCGAGTGGCATTTGCCAGGGCAAATCGAGGCCTCTGGAGGGACTTCAGAGTGGTGAGATGGGATGGGATGGGATGAAGAGGAAATAAGAGGAAAAACATGTGGCTGTCAAAGGTGAATCAAAATGGCTGGATCCCATCTTAGCTTCGAGTGCAGAAAATACCAAAAACCAGGGAACAGTTCGAGTCAAGTACAAGTCCCTTGAAGTCCCAAGTGCAAGTCCCTTGCCCTCATGAACTCTCATGAAGTACAGCAAGAATCAAAGCCGAATGCTTTCCGCCTTCGATCCGATGTTTGATCCATCGGACTGACGAACCGACCCGAGGTTCGGCGTGGCGTGCGGCCCGGGTTCCAGTCATCCGTCCTGCTGATCAGCTGCGGACCGTGACTGGATCAAATGAAGTCGATCTCTTTTTGGGCGAAAAAACGGTCCCAACTCGGAACTCGACTGAAGACCCCTACGTGCCAAAAGGTAGCTCTTCTGTCTCAGGATCGAACAAAAACGCACCTTTAAGATATATATATATATAGTCTACATGCAACACATAAAATGCATCTACTGTAAATGGTTTGAAACAGCACTGGGTTCTTAGAACTCCCGGAAACCACGATCTCCCTGAAGAATCCGGTCCGTCCGGATTCCCCGCCTGGTGGTGGCTCCGTCTGCGGATAGGCCTCGTGCTGGCACGCAACGGACCACCGCTGGATGCATTTTGGTAGTCTCAACATCCGACTGTCTCCCAAATAGCACAACATGAGCCATGGGCTGAGTCGACGGAATGTTCGGTGGTCTTACCTTACACGGAACAACCCAGGGACATTGCCTTACACGCACTCTTAAACACATACAGTACGGCGATCTACTCCAACCAGTCCTGTCATGGTACCAGTACTGTACCAACATGTGCCAACACTTGGCAATGTGTGTTAAGCGCACCACTTACACTTTGTATAATTTTGTGCCACTACACGCGCGCAGCAAAATCCCGGTGATACATACTGTTCATTGCTGATGAAAGTCGCACCAGCCTTCCGAATCCCCATGATTCAGTTTTAGAGCGACGTGCGATGAGCAATCAGCGACATGGCAAACAATTTTACACATGTGTCACCTATACCCGGTAATACAACTGGACACTCACGGATCTGGCAAACGGAACTGGACCGCTGTTGAAGCCGTTGTCCGGAATCCAAATCACCCAGTCCATGATGTTTAATTACCAACATGCTGACCAGGGGCTGGCGTTTGCATGATCTCTGGCTGGGGCAAGAGCTGCATCTCCGGCATGACTGGCTGCACGACTTGTGCCACTTGCGCTTTACAGAGCAAGTCGTAGGCGTCTGTAATGTCCTCAGATGGCTGTGGCTGACAAAAGAACACTATACTCAGTCACCCTTGACCACTGCTCCAAAAAACCTAGCCTTGTACAAAGTTCTCTTTCACCGGTGATGTTTGAGTTCGTTTTCGCCACGGTCCAATGGCTGTAGCCTCTCAGTTTCTGTCGGGTTCCCCGACTTATTGCTCCGTCTCCATCTCCCACCTCGCCCGCCCACGAGGGGGCCGAACATCCACCGGACCGGTTTCAGTTTGATCTTGCCTTTGAGACCGGATGCTTCACTAGGTCCTGAGCCAGTGATGGTACTTAGCATATCATACCACTGTCCAAAAAGATTAACTGAGGAACTGAACATATATAAATTGTAACAAGTACAAAACTTAAAATGTTTCTTAGGCAGTACTCCCTCCCACACTATGAATATCCCCTTGTATGCAGCTGCCTATGCTCCATGATGCAAAAGTCATCAACCTCTTCTCGCTTCGTTTCCCTGAAACTTGCATCGATGGTCCCAAAAAGGAACTTCCAAACCTGTGCTCTACCTCCCACCAAACACTTGACTCCTTGACTCCTCTGAATTGCCAGGTCACCATACGATTGCCCTTGTGAATTACGATGGGCCGGTACTGACTGTTCCTGTTCCCCGCGTGGCAGCGAGACACGCGGCGCACGAGCTTGTCTTGCGATGGTCGAATGATCTCAACGGTCGACTTAGAGGTATGGTCAATTGGCTAGCACCCCTAATGATCAGATGATCAAATTGATTTCTCAATGGTCAAATGCTTCTTCACCTCTCCCGATCTCTCTCTCTCTCATATTCTGATGATGCTCTTGAGATCTAGATATGGTCCACTTTGAATGTGTGGTGACTCGAGATGGCACAAACCCAAGAGTTAAACAAACAATACTTAAAGTGATCCCACACATAAGAAATTCCTCATAAATACTCGTCAAGGGCTCGTTTCCGCGCGTGCGGTTGAAGACATTTGTCAAATCTTCACGTGGTCAATGATGACGAATGTCCGGTGTGTGACTGTGTTTTGCATTGATGTGAAAGGTTTGTTGCAGCATGTGGTACATGAAAACAACTCAAAGATCGTTGCGATTTTGACATCGAAATGCTACGAGACTGTGGTTTCGTGCCAAAAAAAGCGCGATTTTTCATCCTCCAGCATCATCATCACAGTCTGTGGGACAACTTCTGACCCAGCTTCGTCAGAAGATCGTCTTTATTCTGGTGCCAGCGCCATTGCCACTGTCGAATGAACTTCATGATGTTTGGGTTTATACCGTCACCTTCCCGTGAACGCAAGCTAGTGGGGACCGACTCCTTACACAAACGCCACATACCATCAATGGCACCGGTGTGGATGAGCAGCTCTCCTGACCTCAAGCATCTGACAATCCCCCGAACGGAAAAACTTCGGAATAAGCAAGCAGTCGGTAACCACCACGCCAGGTTTCCATGCGTCGACGGCTAAAAAAAGAACTGACACACCCCGACCACCTGTGCGTACCGACCTGTCTGTGTGTGTGTGTGTGTGTCTGGCTTTATCTTCGTATGCACTATGATGCAACGTCTTTAGCCCCCTACCCAACCCCCCCTGTGTTTTGTAGGGTCCTAGGTTCCCCTAGGCGTGTCTACGCTATACTATACGTGTGTAGCACCTTTTGTCCGTAGGTACTTGTACATACATTCTCTTCAGTCAGCAGCCGCTAAATTCATTTGGCTCAAGCCCAATACCTGCAGGGTCTTACTTGGTGTTTTCGATCAGGTCCAGTGTACTTCACTGCCACACGCTGCCACTTTGGGGAACCTACCCCTCACCCCCACCCCCTCTTCCACAGCGTGTGTGTGTGTGTGTGTGTGTGTGTGTGTGTGTGGCTTCCTAATAAAAATGCACAACATGAACATCACTAGCCCCCCACCCAACCCCCCCTCCCCCCTAACCCCCCCGTTTCCCCATCTTCCATATTCCAATGCGTGTGTTTGTGTGTGTTCTTGCCCCCCCAAAGGACTGTATGAAAAATCAGTTTCACTACACGCGCGGTTTTAAGCCCATTAGCAATAAAAGGACCGGATAACCCCACATGATAAGTTCTACAAATTTCAAATGTATATGAACATCACATGGGAGACGGAGTAGTGAGATGAAAAGTCAAGGAAGTGTGAGGAGAGAAGGCATATGAGGCGGTTATGCTCAGACGTGCAGTATAAGTGATGATGTGATGGACGAGGATGAGAAGGAAGGGAGGGAGGTGTGTGTGTGTGGTGAGATGGCGTGCGTGTGTGTGTGTGTGTGTGTGTGTGTGTGTGGGTGTGTGATAAAGTGTCTGATGATGTGATGAACAAGGATGAGAGGGACGAGAGGGACGAGAGAGAGAGAGAGAGAGAAGGTAGCCTGGAGAGCATCAGCAATGCTCGTTCCGGACTGAGGGTGGTGCTATGTAGATGTGAAAGAGGATGATGGTGAGTGAGAGACTAGCGGCACCAGCGGCGACAACGCGCGCCGCAGCCCCTTCTGGAGGCTCTGGATACTGCGCCTGCGGCAGCCAGCGGCGACAACGCACGCCGCAGCCCCTTCTGGAGGCTCAGGATAATGCTCCTGCCACGCGGAAGACAGCCAGCGGCACCAGCGGCGACAACGCGCGCCGCAGCCCCTTCTGGAGACTCTGGGTACTGCGCCTGCCACGCGGAAGGCAGCCAGCGGCACCAGCGGCGACA